CCAGTTACTTACGATTTTGCTACCCATCTGAAGTAAAACGAAATTAACTTTCCAAAAGTTTGAATAGCTCACGGAACCCCTGCCTCCTTACGTACGTCATTTTGCGTGGCGCATTGTCACGTACAGTACATCACAAGACATTCCCTCCTGTGGCTCATGATCCACTAAATTTTTTTTTTTCATCTGAAGTTTTTTAATGTGATTTTTCATATGCAATAATGCACCCTTTCTACCATTTCTTTTTTTGTAACCATAAATTGCTCCTTGCTCACTTTTCCTTATGCTAGCTGTGTTGTGCCGCTTGTTTTATCAGTTTGTAAATTTTTGATTTGCTGCATTTCTCCAGATATATATGCATATTTTTTTATCCGCTTAACTCTGTCTTGTTTTTTGATGATCGGTATGTAGTCTTCCAGTCGGTGAGCAACCCAGTGTTTTTCATCAGACGGTGAGTTCTCTAGTTTCATCGGTGCATGTACAGGAATGAGTTGAGAAGGGAAGGAAATGGCGGCTACTTGGACTGGTTTCACCGCATGACAGCTGTAAGATAAATACCAAATTTTTGAGTAAGAAAAGTCTAAGAGGGATGGACAGGAGGTTGCAAAGAGGGCGAAAGCACATCTGACCTCGGAGGTGCTTGTTTGTATGGGATCGACATCCTTAACCATGCGTTGTTGAAGTATATGTGTGAATTTGATTTTTATGCTAGTACTACCATTTTGATTGATGTGTCAGACTTTCAGCAATAAAACATCGTCATTGTGCCCGCTTAAGAGACGCATTTTATGCGAAAACGAATATTCTCACAGTAAATTTCATAAATACATTATTGTAGCACTTCATACAAGCGGGTTTTATTGTGCTCCCATATACTACATAATGATTGTCAGTACTTCACTGCCAAATTAATAATCAAAGTTTAAGTATCATTGGCGACGCTCACAGGCGGGCCCGTGCGATCATGCGTTTTTGCAGTATTTCGTGCTGTAATACTCAGTAGCTAAGAATTGTGACATACTGGTCCTCGGACTTCCGAAAATTAATTGTGCAACTGCGTGGTACTTGGATGGGAAACATCCCTTTAAAATTTCAAACCCTCACCCTCCTCCCCAAGCTTTTCTGATTCCCGAGTTAGCGGTTCTCCACCAAAATATTAGTGTGATCGTGCGCGGGGCTCGGACGTGCGTGAAGGTTGGTACCGCACTACCGGGGTGACACTTGGCTGGGGAACCCCCTGGCAAAGTTTCGGCGCGGAGCTTGCTTAGTTGCCCAGTTGAAATGTCCGGACAGACACACATGCACATATACAAACACACACGCGCAAACCATGGGTCGTCAAATTATGCGTTCTTGCATTTGCATATATGCAAAAACGCATAATAATACAGTTCCCCAACTGTTTTTTTTCCAATGTGAATCAAAACTCTGAAATGCGTGAACAATTCGATTTAACAATATTACCAAAATCGTCCGAACAATCTGTACAGGTAACACTTACATACTTCGTTCAAATTTGTGGAGCCGTGCACTGCCGCGGAGGACATGGTCTCGGGTCGCAAGTTAATATACATATGAGGATAGCATTGTAACTGGGGATGCGAAGCCCAGAATCGAAGTCCCTGGCGCGGTTAGTTGCGACGCGTGGAAGCATCTCAGTAATATCAGTAACGGGGGGATACCCACACTGATGCCTGAACGATCATGGTATTCCTCGTACATATATATATAAAAGGGACATATTGGCTGATTTGTCAGATACATTCGTCGGCCATCAGGATGGAAGCGCATTTACAAAATAAATCAGTGGCTTCAGCCTCAAACAGTTACTGATTAGTACGTGAAGGGGTTCAGTCGGCAGTGCGACATGGACAAATCAGGGACGGCTAAGTTGCTAGGCGCCAGCTTTGGATTATGCGTGCTGTATAGATTAGGGCACACAGGTGGTATCAAAACCCTGCATATTGTTACTGAAGGAGAGCAGCATGTTTTTAGTCTTCATGTCCTGAAATTTTCAGCTTTCTAGCCGACACAGCCCCTGAATTGTTCGTTTAGACAGTAACGTAGACAGTCTTTGCTTAAAGCAAAATGCATAATAAAGCTTACTGCAAACATGAAAATTCAAAATGCAAAAGAAATAACGACAGAACAAAGTTCGTGTTTGGGAAGGAAGTCCCAGTGCTGGAGGATCAAACTGAGCCAAGAACACGGCTGAACGAGGTAGGAACGTGCTAAATTTTGTCAAACATGATCAGCTCCGAATGAGGTTTTCAATATAAAGATAGTGCTAAATTGGTGTGACCCTGCTCAGATGCGGCTTTTTATTAGGCACCTAATGGCGCGCAATCTCGAAACGGATTTGCGGCTGACGTAAGTTGTGTTATGCATTAGCTGATGATGTTTTTCGCTAAGTTTTTTCGTAAAAAGCTTCCAGAGCTGCTTAGTGATGTAGTGCTGTCCAGAGAATGAATTCTGAAAGTCCGGCATGTATAGACAACAAGTCCGATCCAGTACTATGGAACTGTCCCGAGTATGGTACTAAACGAGTCAGAGAGAACCAGGATTTTTTTTTTGTAAGTGAGAAGCCCAATGGTATGTTCAGTCACCGCATAGTAATCTAAGATGCCTTCAATGGATGCCTTAAAATTTACAATAATTTTTGCGGAAGTCTCACGAAAAGCCAACGGTTGTTGAAAGGATGTGCTGCACACGGTGTAAGAGCCGATAACGCAGAATATGTATACGATGCCCTATTAATGTAGCTATTGCAGTAGGTTTGAAAAGCACAAGGGTCGGTGATGCAGTGGTTTAATGTGAAGACGGATGGTTCGATTCCTTCCCAGTGCACGACGCCCTTTTTCAAAAAGGGCGCAGTCCGCGAGACCAAAAATACTGTCTATAAGCGGCAGTATTTAAAACCAACACTTGGTTTTATGTTATTTTTCACTGTCACTCTTTCAGTTCGTCTAGGCGTCTCATCGATGCGCATAACTGGCTTCTTAATCCTCTTCCAGTTAAGGTCCGGAAAATGTCCGCTCATTAAACCAAACAATGAATGCAATCAGACGAATCACTTCCGTTATTCTTTTAGAGTTGAGCCCTGATTCGACATTCTCCGCTCAGCAAAAAAC